ACACGTTCAGAGAAACTTCTCTAGTAACAAACTATAGAAATGATCCCTGAAAGTACAGTCTGAAGTTTTGCTCCTGTTGTCTAGGCTGGAGTGCAATCGCACCATCTTGGATCACCGCAACTTCTGCCTCCTGGATTCAAGCGATTCTCCTACCTCAGCCTCCCAAGTAGCTGAGATGACAGGCATGTGCCACTACACCTGGCTAATTCTGTATTTTTAGTAGAGACGGGGTTTCTTCATGTTGGTCAGGCTGGTCTCCAACTCCTGACCTTGGGCGATCCACCTGCCTTGGCCTCCCAAAGTGCTGGGATTACAGGTGTGAGCCACTGCTCCCAGCAAATGCTTTTTCTTTAATGAAAGGCTTAGAGTAAAAATCTTTTGGCCAGGCATGGTGGCTCATGCCTGGAATCCCAGCACTTTGGGAAGCCGAGGTGGGAGGATCGCTTGACCCCAGGAGTTCAAGACCAGCCTGGAAATATAGTAGTGAGACCCTGTTTCTATATTTTTTAAAAAAATCTTTTTTCCTCTCCTTTTTTTTCTTTTTTTTTGAGATGGAGTCTCGCCCTGTTGCCCAGGCTGGAGCGCAGTGGTGTGATCTAGGCTCACTGCAACCTCCACTTACCGGGTTCAAGCGATTCTCCTGCCTCAGCCTCCTGAGTAGCTGAGACTACAGGTGCGTGCCACCATGCCCACCTAATTTTTGTATTTTTAGTAGAGATGGGGTTTCACCATGTTGGCCGGGATGATCTCGATCTCGACCTTGTGATCCACCTGCCTTGACCTTTCAAAGTGCTGGGATTACAGGCATGAGCCACTGTGCTTGGCCTATTATTATTATTTTGTAAGATGGGATGGCTCTGTTGCCCAGGCCGAAGTGCAATGGCATAATCTCAGCTCACTGCAGCCTCCGCCACCTGGGCTCAAGCAATTCTCCCACGTCAGCCTCTTAAGTAGCTGGGACCACAGGCATGAACTAACACAACTGGCTAATTTTTGTATTTTTAGTAGAGATGGGGTTTCACCATGTTGGCCAGGCTGGTGTTGAACTCCCGACCTCAGGCAATCCACCCCCCTCAGCTTCCCAAGGTGCTGGGATTACAGGCGTGAGCCACCGCGCCCGGTCTGATGAGTGTTTTATTAGCATAGTGCAGACAGGAGGTAAATCTGGAGAAGCAATTAAAGGAGGATGTGCTACACAGACATAAAGAATAGTGTCTCTCTGGGACTGAATAACAGTCTAGAACTTCTCTATCAGTTGAAAACAGAGCTATGAATATATGGTGGTTTAGCGTGTGAAAAGATGCACAACATTGTTAGTCATTAGGGGAATGCAGTGAAAACCACATTGAGATACCACTTCATACCTATTAGAATGTCTGGAATTTAAAAATTGACCGTAGCAAGTACTGACTAGAATCTGGAGCAGCTGGTGGGAATGTCACTGGTCTAACCACTTTGGAAAACATCTGGCAGTTTCTTAAAATGTTAAATATACCCCAGCACTTTGTGAGGCTGAGGCAGGAGAATTGCTTGAGGCCAGGAGTTTGAGACCACCATGGGCAACATAGCAAGATCCTGTCTCCACAAAAAAATTTAAAATGAGCTGGGCATAGTGTGGTTCATGCCTATAGCCCCAGCTAGTTGAGAGGCTGTGGTGGGAGGATGACTTGAGCCCAGGAGTTTGAGACTGCAGTAAGCCATGATTGCAACACTGCATCCAGCTTGGGTGACAGGGCAAGACCCTGTCTCTATAGAAAAAAAAATTAAATATACACCTACCATATGACCTAGCCATTCCATTTCTACAGAAATGAATAAAATATGTCTATACAAAGACTTACTATACATGAATATGCAAGCAGCTTTATTTGTACTGGCCAGAATTCCAGAAACAACCCAACTGTCCATTCACAAGTGAATGGCTAAACCATTATGGTAACAGGTTGGTCCAAAAGTAGTTGCTATCTTTGCCATTACTTTTTTTTTTTTTTGAGATTGAGTCTTGCTCTATTGCCCAGGCTGGATTGTGGTGGCATGATCTTGGCTTGCTGCAATGCCCACCTCCTGGGTTCAAGCAATTCTCCTGCCTCAGCCTCCCGAGTAGCTGTGATTACAGAAGCATGCCACCATACACCAGGCTAATTGTATCTGTAGTACAGACGGTGTTTCACCATGTTGGCCAGGCTGGTCTCTAACTCCTTTTAATGGCCTGTCATTACTTTTAATGACAAAGACTATACTTACTTTTGCACCAGCCTAATATATCCACATAGTAGGATACTTCGCAGCAACAAAAAGGAATTATTTATACACACAGTAACATAGTTTAATCTCAAGATAATTACTCTGAGTGAAAGAAGCAAGAGGGCCACAGAAGTTTGAATGCATTTATAGAAAATTCTAGAAAATGCAAACTAAGGCCGAGCACGGTGGCTCACGCCTATAATCCCAGCACTTTGGGAGGCTGAGGTGGGCGGATCATGAGGTCAGGAGATCGAGACTATCCTGGCTAACTCGGTGAAACGCCGTCTCTACTAAAAATACAAAAAATTAGCCGGGCCTGGTGGCAGGCGCATGTAATCCCAACTACTCAGGAGACTGAGGCAGGAGAATCGCTTGAACCTGGGAGGCAGAGGTTGCAGTGAGCCAAGATTGCGCCATTGCACTCCAGTCTGGGCAACAAGAGCAAAACTCTGTCTCAAAATATAAAAAATAAAAAACTAAATCAGTCTAGCCCCCTTTGATAGCAGTTGGCAGTGACTCACTTTCATGCTAAACTTCAGATCCCAAAGTTGAAATTCTTACTAAATTTTAACTTTGGGATCTGAAGTTTAGCATGAACTTATATTTAATAAGAATAAACAAAGGCATATACCCACATATATATATAGATCTATAGATAGATGGTGATGGACCTCAAGCTGAGCACGCTGCTGCCCATCAACCATGAGAGTCTCACTGGCAGCACCATGAATATATGTATGTGGGTATGTACCTTTGTTTATTCTTATTAAATATAAGAATATATATAACATATATATATATATATACTACATATATATATATTGCTGGGGTTTTGTTAGATGGAGTCTCACTGTCACCCAGGCTGAAGTGCAGTGGTGCGATCTAGGCTGACTGCGATCTCTGCCTCCTGGGTTCAAGGGATTCTCCTGCCTCAGCCTCCCGAGTAGCTGGGAATACAGGCACCCACAACCATGCCCGGCTAATTCTGTATTTTTAGTAGAGACAGAGTTTTTCTCACAGCGGCCAGGCTGGTCTTGAACTGACCTTGTGATCTGCCCACCTCGGCCTCCCAAAGTGCTAGGATTACAGGCGCGAGCCACCGTACCCCGCCACATACCCACATACTTTTCAAGGTTTATAAGCCTTTAATGTTGTCTTATTTTGCAAGTATCTTGACATGACAAGTTGATTGAGGAGAGCTAACCAATGCCTAGGATTCTTTTATCATATGGATGTTACTTCATTAGCTGTAGTAAGTTTTGTTTAAGTCAAATTATTTAACTGGGTAGGTTCTAAGAAATAAAAGGGATGCAGTGGCTCACATCTGTAATCCTAGCACTTTGGGAGGCCGAGGTGGGTGGATCACCTGAGGTCAGGAGTTCAAGACCAGCCGGGCCAGCATGGTGAAACCCCATCTCTACTAAAAATACAAAATTACTAGGCGTGGTGGTACGCAACTGTAGTCCCAACTACTTGGGAGGCTAAGGCAGGAGAATAACTTGAACCCACGACGTGGAGGTTGCAGTGAGCCGAGGTCCTACCATTGCACTTCAGCCTGGGCAAGAAGAACAAAACTCTGTCTCAAAAAGAAAAAAAAAGAAAGAAAAGGAATTAATTTAGTTATTCTTATTCTACTATTTGATGTCCTGCTTTGCTTTGTAACACCTAAAGACAAAGAAATATTCACAGGTGATAGGGTGTGGTGGCTAAGGCCTATAACCCCAGCACTTTGGGAGGCCAAGGCAGGAGGATTACTTGAGGCCAGGAGTTCAAGACTAGCCTGGGTAACATAGCAAGACCCTGACTCTACCCACAAAAAAAAAAAAAGAAAAAAAAGCTGGGTGTGGTTGCACACACCTATGGTCCCAGCTTTCCAGGAGGCTGAGGTAGGAGGCTCACTTGAGCCCAGGAGGTTGAGGCAGTCAGTTGTGATCATGCCACTGCCCTTTAGCCTGGGCGACAGAGCAAGAGAAAAAAAGAAAAAGAAAGAAATATTCCTAGGTAGTTAGCGTTTGTGTTTGTAATGGTTTGTAAACCTAAGCATTTAAAAGTGCCTCTTAATTTCCTGTAGGCTTCAATTGTGTTGTCCTCCCAGGATGAATTCTCACCCACGAGCAAGCTCCAGCGTTTGCTGGCGGAGTCTCGTCAGATGGTGACGGACCTGGAGCTGAGCACGCTGCTGCCCATCAGCCATGAGAATCTCACTGGCAGCGCCATGAATGTATGTCTTTAGTCTTCTCTTGACTACATTTGTCACATCTAAACACGCCACTGAGCACTAGTGTGTAAATATCACCAGCAGGGCAGCTGTTCTGTTAGAGGGAGAGTTTCTGTGTCTCTGGGGAGGAAAGGGAACACACTTGTTTTAAGGAGGAAAAAGTTACAATCAGGTGTCACTGCACCCAAACTTCCTCTTTCTAATGATCTGGGGCATGTGAAGAGAAATTCTTGGGGATTTTTTGTGGGTGGGATGGAGTTTTGCTCTTGTTGCCCGGGCTGAAGTGCAGTGGTGCGATCTCAGCTCGTTGCAACTTCCGCCTCCTGGGTTCAAGTGATTCTCCTGCTTCAGCCTCCCAAGTAGCTGGGATTACAGGCACCCCCACCACCTGAGGCTAATTTTGTTTTTGTTTTTTTTAATTTTGGATTTTTAGTAGCGACAGGTTTTCACCATGTTGGCCAGGCTGGTCTTGAACTCCTGTTCTCCAGTGATCCACCTGCCTAGGCCTTGCAAAGTGTTGGGATTATAGGCATGAGCCACTGTGCCCAGCTGGGAAATTTTTTTTTCTTTTTTTTTTTTTTGAGGCGGAGTTTCCCTCTTGTTACCCAGGCTGGAGTGCAATGGCGCGATCTTGGCTCACCGCAACCTCCGCCTCCTGGGTTCAGGCAATTCTCCTGCCTCAGCCTCCTGAGTAGCTGGGATTACAGGCACGCGCCACCATGCCCAGCTAATTTTTTGTAGTTTTAGTAGAGACGGGGTTTCACCATGTTGACCAGGATGGTCTCGATCTCTTGACCTCGTGATCCACCCTCCTCGGCCTCCCAAAGTGCTGGGATTATAGGCGTGAGCCACCGCGCCCGGCCTGGGAAATTTTTGAAAAACAAATTTTATGATAGAAAATTTCAAATGAGCACCAAAGTGTAAAGAATGGCAGTCACTTGCCTTCAACCACTGTCAATTTTATCTTACCCCATCCACACACATTTTCTTCAGAAGAATTTTAGAACGAATCTCAACATCATATCATGTCACTCATAAATATTTCATGATGTCTCTCTAACAGATATGGACTTTTAATTTTTTTGAGTTTTACACTTGTTGCCCAGGCTGGAGTGCAGTGGTGTGATCTTAGCTCACTGCAACCTCCGTGTTCTGGGTGCAAGCGATTCTCCTGTCTCAGCCTCCTGAGTAGCTAGGATTACAGGCACCTGCTACTACACCTCGCTAACTTTTGTATTTTTAGTAGAGACGGGGTTTCACCATGTTGGTCAGGCTGGTCTTGAACTCTTCACCTCAGGTGATCCACCTACCTTAGCCTCCCAAAGTGCTGGGATTATAGGTGTGAGCCACCTCACCCTGCCAAATTTTAATTGTATTTGTTTATTTTTGAGACAGAGTCTTCCTCTGTTGCCCAGGCTGGAGTGCAGTGGCTATCCACAGCCGTGATCACAGCTCACTGCAGCCTCAAATTCCTGGGATCAAGCAATCCTTCCACCTCAGTCTCCCAAGTAGCTGGGACCACAGGCACACACTGCCCCGCCCACTACATTTCCCAGGCTGCCATTGAACTCCCAGCCTCAAGTAATCCTCCTGCCTTAGCCTCCCAAAGTTTTGGGACTATTGGTATGAGCCACTGTGCTCAGCGTATTTATTTGTTTTTAGAAACAGTCTTGCTCTGCCACCCAGGCTGGAATGCAGGGCCAACTTGAACCTCCAACTCCCAGGCTCAAGTGACCCTCCAACCTCAGCCTCTTGAGTAGCAGGGATTACAGGTACACGGAACCATACCCAGCTGATTTGAGCTGATTCAAACTCCTGGGCTCAAGCAATCCTCCTGCCTCATCCTCCCAAAGTGCTGGGATTACAGGCATGAGCCACTGCACCTGGCCTGCCTTTTCTTTTTCTTAACAGTTTCTTTTAAAAAGCAGAAATTTTAAATTTTGATTACTTCCAGCTTAACAGGTTTTTTTTTAAGTGGTGTTTTTTGTGTCCTAAGAAATCTAGCCCAAGGTTGTGATTCTTTTCTCCTTCTAGAAATTTTCTAGTTATGTTTAGGTCTGAGGTTCATTTAGACTTATTTTAGTGTGTGGGATAAAGTTAGAATCAATGTTTTTTTTTTTTTTTCCATACACATACCCAGTTCTAGCACTGTTTGTTAATGAGACTATCTTTCATTACTGAATTATTTTTGCCGTTTTTGTTGAATATTAATTGAGCATACATGCTAGGGGCTATTTCTGGACTCTGGTCATTTCAATTGATTTGTCTTTCCTTATATTCCTATCACATCATATTGATCATTATAACTCCATAGAAAGTCTTGAAATTGTGTAGTATACATTATTCACTTTGTTTTTCTTTTTCAGAATTGCTTTAACTATTCTAGGTCTTTTGCAGATCCATATCAATTTTAGAATCAACTTGTCTTTTTTGTTTTTTAATGCCCTCTTGGTATTGTGGTTTTCTTTATTTTTTTTACCATGTTGGTCAGGCTGGTCTTGAACTCCCAGCCTCAGGTGATCTGCCTGCCTTGGCCTCCAAAGTGCTTGGATTCCAGGCGTGAGCCACCACGCCCGGCCGGGTATTGTGGTTTTCTTTCTTTATTTCTTTCATGTTTCTTTTTTTTTTTTTTTTCCACTGAGTTTTGCTCTGTCACCTAGGCTGGAGTGCAGTGGTGCGATCTCTACTCACTGCAACCTCTGCCTCCCAGGTTCAAGTGATTCTCTTGCCTCAGCCTCCTGAGTAGCTGGGACTATAGGTGTGTGCTGCCACACCTGGGTAACTTCTGTATTTATTAGAGATGGGGTTTCACCGTGCTGGCCAGGCTGGTCTGAAAATCCTGACCTCAGGTGATCCATCCACCTCGGCCTCCCCAAGTGCTGGGATTACAGACATGAGCCAACACGCCTGGCTAGTATTGTGGTTTTCTTGAATCCATAGATTCAAGGACAATTGAGGAAAACGGACATCTGTAAACAGAGTATATCTCAATTTATTTTGGTCTGTCTTCATTTCTCTTGACCATATTTTGCATTTTCATTGTAAAGGTCTGGTACGTCATCTGTTAAATTTATCTCTAACACAGGTTGAGTATCTTTTTTTTTTTTTTTTGAGACAGAGTTTCGCTTTTGTTACCCAGGCTAGAGTGCAATGGCATGACCTCAGCTCACTGCAACCTCTGCCTCCCATGTTCAAGCGATTCTCCTGCCTCAGCCACTCGGGTAGCTGGGATTACAGGCATGTGCCACCACCCCTGGCTAATTTTTGTCTTTTTAATAGACAGGGTTTCACCATATTGGCCAGGCTGGTCTCGAACTCCTGACCTTGTGATCCACTTGCCTCAGCCTCCCAAAGTGCCAGGATTACAGGCATGAGCCACTGTGCCTGGTCTGGGTTGAATGTCTTTTATCCAAAATGCTTGGGACCAGAAGTGTTTCAGATTTCAGATATTTTTTGATTTAGGCATATTTGCATTATATACTTATAATTGAGCATCCCTGATCCAAAAATCCAAAATTTGAGTTTTTGTTTTTGAGACAATCTCGCTCTGTCGCTCAGGCTGGAGGGTAGTGGTGCAATCTCAGCTCACTGCAACCTCCACCTGCCGGGTTCAAGTAATTCTGCTGCCTCAGCCTCCCAAGTAGTGGGGACTACAGGCATGCACTACCGCATCTGGCTAATTTTTGTAGAGATCCAGGTTTTACCATGTTGGCCAGGCTGGTCTTGAACTCTTGACCTCAGGTGATCTGCCCACCTTGGCCTCCCAAGGTGCTGGGATTACAGGCATAAGCCACTACACTCACCCAGATTTTGGATTTATAGACTAGGGATAATCAACCTGTATTTTGTTTATTGATACGGTTATACATTATATTTTAAACTTCATTCTCAAATTGTTTATAAATGATACAAATAACTACAGTTGATTTTTGTAAATTGCAACTTTTCTGAATTCATCTATTCTAGTAGAGTTTTTGTAGATTCCTTAGGATTTTCTACACAATCATGTCATTCACAAATAGAAACAGTTTCATTCCTTTTTCCAGTGTTTATGCCTTATTTCATTTTCTTCCCTTATTGCTCTGGCTAGGACGTCCAGATCAGTGTTGAATAGAAGGAGGGGAGCAGACATCTTTGCCTTGTTTCGGGAAATACTCTCTGATGGCATTTCTTGCTTAGTCCATCTTCAGATTAGTATTTTGTTAGATTCAGAGTTCCCTAGAGCAGTTTCTATGTGACGCAAATAGATCCAAAACTAGAACATTAATCATTTTAGAATCAACATGCTCATTGCCATGAGCCTAAACAGGTAATTGCAGAAATTAGCTTAAAAAACAGACTCCCAAAATAGAAATTTTTCCAAGTATACAATGTGTGCTATATAAACTTTTCAAAGTGGAAACAGTGCTGGACTGGTGTTTCTTAGGAAGATTTCTTCTCACAAGCTGTCTCTCAGGCATTTGTGAACCCTTGCATTTATATCGGGGCAGAGGAAGGTTTTTAGTGACAAAACTATTTTGGTGCTTAGCTCTCCCTTTAAATGTCTGCAGTGAGGCTGTTTCTTCCCCTGTGTCTAGGGAGGACTTTAATGACTTTTCTGGTCATTCTTTGGCAGCTATTTCTCTAAAATATGTATTTTAATTGAGATATAGACCAGCCATGGTAGCCAACACGTGTAATCTCAGCACTTTGGGAGGCCAAGGCAGACAGCTCACTTGAGCCAAGGAGTTTGAGACCAGCCTGGGCAACGCTGGGAAACCCTACCTTTACAAAACAAATTTTTTTAATTAGCTGGACACACTGGCATGTACCTGTAGTCCCAGCTGCTCAGGAGGCTGAGGTAGGAGAATCACTTGGTCCTGGGAGGTCAAGACTGTAATGAGCCATGATCTTGCCACTGTACTCCAGCCTGGGTGACAGAGAGAGACCCTATATCCAAAAAGAAAGAGAGAGTTCACATTTTATTATTTACATACAATCACTCTTCTAAAGTATACAATTTG